TGCTCATATTTTCTCACGGCCTGCTCTCACCACACTGGGAATTTGTTGTTTTAATTTAATAAACTAGTGGATAAAGTTTATAAGTGACTCACTCCTATTACAGTGCGCATTGAATGAGCTGAAAATTTGAAACTGTTTACATTTTTATGACATTTTTGTAGACATCTCCTGTTTATTTTCAAACCATATAAAGTATTGATTTTAAAAACGCCTTCGATGGGGTTGACGGAGAATGGAGTACCTCTAATCTTTATCGACTTCTTTCAACGGTTACATGAATTTTCACGACTCAAATACTCCACAATGAAAAACTAAGCCCACTCTGTGAAGAGAAAAAACGGAGTTAAACAAGGCTGTCTATTATCACCAGTGATAGGACCTAATTATAGTGGACTGGATTGTGGGGTACGCTGTGCTTCGAAGTGAGAAGACAGACATAGGCTAAACCAGCAGTGAGTCTACATTTCGCGGATGGGCTATGTTTAATGTCACAGAAACCCAATGATCTACAAGCGGAAATCAACAAGTTGGTAGGAGAAGCAGGAAGCGAAGACACCACGTCAAGAGAACATAGAAGGAAATTTGGAAAACGTCACTGATATCATTTATCCGGCTTGACAGCATCCTTTCAACTGCAGACAGGACGGATAAGAATGTCAAAGCCATCAAGAATTGAGTAAGCAAGAAAGACCTTTGTCGTTCTGAGACTAGTTTGGAAGTCTTCTGTACTAACTTAGCATAAAGACCAAATTCGGGTTTTTAACATCAGATCAGAGACTTGGCGAGTCATAAAGAGCATCTCAAACAAACTTCAAACCTTCATTAACAACTGTCTCCGCTCAATACTCAAGATCAGATGGCCAGAAAAGATCAGCAACAGGGATCTCTGGGAGCGAACCAATCAGGAACCGATTGTGAAACAAATAGGCAGAAAGAAATGGAGATGGATTGGCCATACGCTGAGGAAACCATCAAGTGACATCACTAGACAAGCCCTCGAGTGGAACCCGAAAGGGAGGCGGCGAGTTGGTCGTCCAAGGGTGACTTGAAGGAGGTCATGCGAGGAGGAGATGAAAGCATGTGGACAGACCTGGAGCAGGGTGAAAAAGTTGTCAGGAAACCGAAGGCAATGGAGGTGCGCAGCTGAAGCCCTATGTTCCTCTAGGAACTAAAGGATACAATAATAATAATAATAATGATTCAGTCATATCTATAAGGGCCAGAAACTTGTTCAGCATTTCATGAAAAATTGTGGAAAATACCCATCAGGACGTAAAAGGAAAAAGAAGTACAGCAAAGATATCTGTCTTTTCGGCGATTTCATTCTCAATAGCAACCGTACAATCGCATTTATATACATTAGTTTACATGGTTACAATTATTTTTTATTTATTTAATTCCCCATACTAACGAAGGTGATAATAATTTTCAACTTGAAATGAAAGTTTGAAGGTACGTATATAGATTACAAGAGACATAAAGACAAGATTGCATAGGATTAGGAAACAGTTACAACGTATGCAAAATTAATATTTGATAACTCGAGAAATAATTTTGAAGGTGAATAAAAAGTGATAGATATTTTCTACTTGATATGAATTACGAGAGTCAAAGAGACGCAGGGATAGAACGAATTACGGGTGTGAACAAAGTGAGCATGGAAACAAATTGAAATCAAAATTTTCAACTTGAAATATAAGTTACGAGGTGTGAATATAGATTACAACAGGCATAGAAACAAAAAAAAATTACACAGGATTAGAAATGGTTATCCTAAACGGATTATTAGTGTGATCAGGTGGAGCATGGAGACAAACTTAAAATAACTGATTTTATAACTGAGAAAAAATGGGATGAATTAAATGAAGGAAAAGAGAGAAAATTACACGCACAAACAACAAAATAAAAAAAAACTGAAGGATAAGGGAACATACCTAAATAGGTCCATGGAAGTTGTAGAGGCTGGACTAGTTTCTTTTGAACACACATAGCTCCGGCTTTTCATTGCATATGGCGAGAGCTTCCGCAGTACAAAGAAGTCGGAAACACACTGACTTTGGTAGATTTTCGTCCACTTTATAGATGACTCTATATGATGAGTCGGTTGACATGTTCACTTACTTCGCTTGTGATTGAACAGGTGCCTCTCCTTTACAGCCATGCTGGATGATGCTCTCCAATACGTTTTGATAAGACCTGCATAGAACGACCTATGTATGTAGCTTGGTGAAAGCAGGTGAACTGATAAATGCACATTGAAGTAGTCATATGCGGAAGTCTGCCCTTTCTATTACTCCGAGGTAGTGGACGGCTAGAGAATGTCACTCATAGTGTTGCTGCCGGAAAAGTCTTCTTCAGCTAATTGGAGATTCTCCTTTTAAGGATATCTGCCGCCAGGTCTCTACTGAATTCTGGATTCAGATAAAGTGTTTTCTTTAACACTGAAGTGTATTCTTCACCTTTTGATTTTGGTTTCACCTTTTTCCATTTTGAGAAATAGGAGCACTTTTTCTAAACAGTCATCACTACAAATTCTGCTGGTACGATGGGCTAGCGAGATGATGAGAGTTCTTTTACGGCTGATAGGTGTCCAACTGTAGAAGTTTGTCAGTTGGCCCTTCCATATTGGTTTGTCTCTAAACCTCTTGTAATTCATATCAAGTTGATTTAATTCGCCTTTAAAATTATTTCTTCAGGTATCACATATTAATTGTGAATACGTTGTAACTGTTTTCTAATCCTATGTAATCTTTTCTCTAAGCCTCTTGTAATCTATATTCGTACCTTCAAACTTTCATATCAAGTTGAAAATTATTATATACTTCGTTACTATGTGGAACTGAATAAAAAATAATTATATCCATGTAAACTAATGTATATAAATGCGATTGTACATCTACTTTAGAGAATGAAATCGCTGAAAAGATCAACATATTTGCTGAATTTCTTGTTCTTTTACCTCTAATTTCCTGGAAAGCATTCCCGAGGGTCCACTACAAGCTTTCATCGACAGTTTCTTTCAATGTTTTGATAGTGAAGGTCAGATAGCCGGCTGTAAAAGAGACTCATCTAAGAGCTCTATCAACGTATCAACCATGAGCCTATTTCTCAAAAATACGGATACTCGCTGAGAAGAACGTCGAGTGACATTGCACCCCAGGACCTCGAGTGGAACCCGTGTGGGAAATGGCAAGTTTGGGCTTTTGTAAAAGGTTGACATGGGTGAGATTGTGTGAATTGGTAGTAGAAGCCTACCCGGAGTCGTGAAGGCAATCAAAAAGGGATGCAGAGAACGCACTGAAATGGAAATATTCTACTGAAGTCCTCTGTTATATATTCGGGACCCAAAGTTATAATGAAAAAATGTTATTTGTGGTTCTAAATTGTATCCTACTCTCTCCAGTGATTGTTGAACTGAGATTGTATTTTAGGCATTCAGCGTGTTTATTTTTAAATGTTTTGCATGAAAATGAGTCATTCACGTCATCTCTATCTACCACTGGAATAAATCCATATCAGTGAGTATACTACACAGGTAGTTAATGCCCTAAATGTCTCAGGAAACATGATGAATTCCAGTTAAATCGTGAAGCCAAATGAGAAATTATTATCACTAACGTAATCTCTCCATCTGTTTACCTACGTTTTTCGATTCTACGTTCGGGTAAAAAGTGTGAGTTATAAATTTTAGCGTTTTAATAGAGCAGTTTTGTTTTCTCTCAAGGGTAACTATGGCTCTATGAAGGTATCCAAATGCCCGGTGTGCTTTTGCCCGTCGCTTAGCAAGAAGGCCCTACATGCGGGGCGAGATGTAAAAGTCTTTGACCATCGTGTGCTTTCTGATACTGGCTTCATTCGCCGAAGCCCTCGATTTGGCTATTTTGTTCCTCCCAGTGCTCTCAGTATCAACGTGAAGGAATTCGCCCGCGCATAGGGGTGTGGTTACATGCGGCTGGCGCCTCCAAGTGTTGACCACTGGTTGAGGCTTATAGAGAAGGCAACCCGAGCATCAGTAAAGACCTGTCGCGGACATGAGACGACACTTACGTCCGGTTACTTAGTCTTGAGGAAGCAGCCGTGACGTCCTAGGCTTTTTGCGTTGTATGGGGCATCGGTAGTGAGAAGTTCTGAGGATTCCTGTGCGTCAGTGGCACAGTGGTTAGGACTCTCCCGACCATGCACATGGTCCGGGGTTCGAGCCCACGCCGGCGCACACCTGATATCTATGTTCGACCTGCAAAATTTGGGCTACCGATATCCACGCTGAAAATTCCACACTTGTACCAAAAATACAGTGTGGAATCAAGCTGTAAAAAATCAAAAAAAAAAATAGAGGACCTGGCCAATAACAACTGGTTACTGGGTGGCAGCGGAGGACTGGTAATCCTTATCGCGAGGCGCAGTATGGCAACTGTTAGCTGAGGCCAGTATGAAGTAGTGTCTTATGCAGTATGGTGTGGATTGGAGGTCGGGATCCGTGTCCATAAGTCAGGAGGCGCTGGCTCCATTGCGCAAGGGTCTAGTACTGATGGGGGGAGGTGCCACTAGCTGTTAAATATAATAGAAAGAGGCAGCCAGCTCTCTTTACACTTTTGCATTGGTCATTTGGCTGAGCCTGCAATTCGTGGAATCTCCGTACATAGGTAAAACAGTCTAGTCTAGGGCAGTTTTGTTTCCTCTTTGTTTGGTCAAACAAGCAGGAAACCCTACGCAATTAACCTAGCAGACACAGAAACTGTAATATAAGGATTCAATTACTCAAGCTTTTTTAGAAAATGTTAATTCACAGTGGATTCTTTGACAGTGTGTCTATTTGCGTTATGATTGTGATGTCAACAACCCTGTGTATTTCTGTGTTTTATACTGACATCATAATTGGACAAAGGTGTTTCCGGTTGAATGTCAAATGTATGTTAAAATCTGTTCATTATAGCTTGATATATACATATATGTATACTGTTAATATTACTCCGTTCACCTGAATTTTTCTTTTCCCACAGGATTCTCAGGTCTGGCAGTCGCAGGCTATGCTGTAAATGTAATCGATTTAGCTCCCAATTTCTCAGGTTTGGTAATGGGATTTGCAAATAGTGTCAGTACATTCACAGGTATGTATATCAATATAATTTTATTTCTAATATCATTATTGTAATAACTAGCTACTTACCTAACTACCTACCTACATACAGCTACAACTTGCGATAACTATTGATTTCAGAAGTAATTTTCCCAATTCCCATTTACGCGGGTTTCAGAAAAAACAACCGACATTCCTTGTTCAGTTAATTCCTCATCGTCGGCTTTACACTAGCATATAAAGTTATTTTTACATCACACTGTTTACTAATCTAGTGGTTATTCTAATTAACCAGTATTAAGTATATAGAAGGAGGGTGAAATGATGAGGCTGAAATTAATAGAAACAATTCACTAATGAACGTCAATAACAAGATATTCAAGTTTTGAAGAAGGCATGAATACTTTGTTGAATTTGAGATTTTTCCGTCGGTCGATTGAACCGAAGTGCTCCACCTTATGTTGACATGTCGACTTTTTGTGCAGATGCTTCGACGATATCTGGGCATATAATTAGAATTTAATTGGTGGATGGAGACTAGCAGTGAAATCCACCAGGATGCGCATTTCGTCCTAATTGGGACTCGTCAGCTGGATGTATCTGCATTTCTCAGTGAATGATGATGTTCCCACCGAGGCTCGAACCCAGTGCCCATACTTTCAAACGCCAAAGCGTTATCTACTAGACCACTTAGGCCACGAGAGCCACCTCTTGTGCAACGGGTCATATTAATTATTGAATTGAATTTTTGATTTTCCCGTCGATTGATTGGATTGCAGTGCTCGATCTCAGGTGGCTCTCGTTGCTCAAGTGGTCTGTTGGATAACGCTTTGGCTGGTGTTTGAAAATTTTGGCCACTGGGTTCAAGCCTCAATGGTGGGAACATCATCACTCACTGGGAAATCCAGGTACATCCAGCTGTGAAGAGTCCCAAATAAGACGAAGTGTCCACCCTGGTGGATTCCACTGATAGTCACCATCCACAAATTAATGAGATGAATATTAGTTATGGGATTCACGCTAAGTTAATTCAAAGGCATTAGCAACAGGATATTACATAACCAAGAGATTTGTATAATAAACAGGACCAAGAAAAATAGGATAACTCAGTAGAATTACGTAATATACAGACAACTTAATTGAATTAGCTAGGACTGTGAAAAGTGACGAAGTCAAATGACAGTTACAAGGGGAAGGGGGAAAATTGTTTGTAAAGCAAAGCAGCCACAGCAAAGAAAGGGGCTGTAAAAATTACTTTTGAAAACACGTTTGGCTTTCTCATGTGAATTTCAATCGCCTTTGTTGTATCTAAAAGTTGTACTCAAGGATCATGCGAGAGGTTGGGCGAAATACGATAAATAGCCTTAAAAGCTTTATTCGAGTCAACAAGATGCCCAGTCAGTATCCATGAGATGAGCTAGTATTGAAGTGTGTTCAGCATCATTCACATCTTTGCCAAACCTAGATGGGAAATGTTCTGGAAGTCGACAATGAACTTGCCTCATTGTGCACCCATCGTCACTAGGTTTGCACGATAAGTTGAGCCCGTAAATACACATAGGAGAGGCCAGCCATGATATTTCGTCTTTATTTATTCATCTATGTGTTCGTTGATTAGACAGTGTAACCTAACAGTGTCCGTAGCTTTTTTCAGACGTTGTGAAAAAATTTCACCATTTACGTCTTCTGTGGATAGCAATCTTAGGAACGCTGATATTTCGGCAGCTGTGGGCACCTTCGGTTTTCTACTTGTTAAGTTTCCTGTGTTTGTTCAAATAGTTGGTTGGATTTCCGTTTCTACTTAGTAGATCACGAATAATATCGACTTTATTTGCTGTTTCACATGAGCATATAATCAAACATCTAACCAAATCACGTTTGTATTGTAGAGGGACGAAACCCAGAAAATGAGCATATTGTCCGGCTGGTGTAGGTCTCCAACGCAATGATCTACATATTCTTCCGTCTGCTCTTTTGATTATTCATACGTTCAAATGCGAAACAGAGTCGCTTTGTTCTTCTTCTTTGGTTAAACTTATGAATGGATGTACTTTATTGAATTCCTCCGATGTGTGCTTTACCTCATTTTCTTTCCATAAATACTATCATCAGCATGATAGCAATAGAAATCAAGATTATCTGTTACACTTTTCACGGATCTATTCTTTATTTTCACCAGGAAAAAGTTCTCTAGGATTGCATCTATTGGTGTTCCTTGGCAACGCCATCTGACCGTCTATATACCTCTATATTGAACAGAAGTTCCTTCAGAGAAGACACAGGAATGCCAGTCCCTATACCTTGCTTTATCAATTCACCACATATGTTGTAATCCACCGTCTCCATCAAAGGCACGCTGATGAATAAGGAAGATTCATCCAGAGATATCATGTACTTATCCTTCACGCCTAATTCTCCAATTCTTTCCACAAACCCAAAACTGTCTTTTACGCCTTTTTTTACGTGTTGGATGTGCTGCGGTTGTAAATATCGCAACGGTCACTTTCTAGTTGAGTGGCATAGTGAACTAGACATATCTAAGATTGGTCTAAATGGCAAGCCATTTTTATGAATATGTGGTAAGCTATACCGTACCGACAGAATTTAGGGTTTTATACGAAGCTGGTGAAGTATTGGCTTGTTCTTTTCAATTTTTAAAGGTTCTGTTAACGGTCTCTAGGTCCTCTCCATTATATCGTTTTTAACTGATAGTTTCTGAAATTTCGGTCCATCATATAATAATGTCTCTATTTTGTTAAAGTAATGAGACAGATTCCCGATGAAGACTCCTGAACTTTTCTCGGGTTTGGATATCAATATTTTCTTACTTCCCTTTACTCTTCTCGCATCCTTATGGTTAAAATACCAATTGTACTACATCTACTATTCATGTATTTGTAACGACAGTCGACTATCTTTGACTTCAATCTGTTAACCTCCTCATTTGATGAAGGCATCAAGTCTCCAGGCTAAATATAAATGTTTTTAAGCTAAACTTGTATGTCCATTTTATCGACTTTTATATGACTATCAGGAGATTTAATTCCAAGAGACAGTACTTATAAATCCGTCGTATCAAGGGCATCGCTCCAGAAATTGTGGACATATAGTTCTGGATTAGGCGGGAAACGTGCTTCTGGCATCTGATTGTCAAGGTGTTGAATGATCTGTGCTCGCAAAGTCAGATTGATTCATTATAAATTAATTAAATTAATTACAGTGTGCTGTGTAAGCCACAGCTTCTTCAGCAGAATTACTCGGATTTTGTTAATCATCAAAATATATGGTCCAAAAATTTTACAAAACGTGGAGTCAGTTTATTTGAAGGTCATTGGTCCATATCGTCGATAGCCAAGAGTTTTCAATTTTCTGTTTTCTCTTAGGCTCCTTTTTATTGATAATATAATCTAGTAGCTTTTCCGGATAACCATTTCCAATCAAAATCTGTTTTATATTGGATATCTCGTTCTCCATATCATCATCATTATCTGTTATAATGTTTCTAGCTCTGTTAACGGGATTTAAAGCTACTGAAACTTTCATCTAATCGGTGATTCAAATACTTGTTGGATTGTGTCAGTTTTCTCTATATTGTAGGCGTCGGTTTCTCGTCAGTTTGTCTTTATACAATGACAATCAAGAAAGCGCATTTCGTCCTATTTGGGACTCATCAGCTGGATGTATCTGCATTTCTCAGTGAGTGATGATGTTCCCACCGAGGCTCGAACCCAGTACCCATAGTTTGAAACGCCAAAGCGTTATCCACTAGACCACTTGGGCCACGAGAGCCACCTGTTGTGCAACGGGTCATATTAATTATTGAATTGAATTTTTGATTTTCCCGTCGACTGTCAACCTGAAACCGAGCACTTCAGTCCAATCAATCGACGGGAAAATCAAAAATTCAATTCGACAATCAAGAAAGTTTAAAGTTCCCTCAGCGGATTCTACTTCATCAGTAAACTCAATATATATTCTGAGATTAAGTTAATTTCTATTAGAAAGTCTTCTTTTTCAGCTTTCTTCATGATGATAAATGTGTCATCTACCAACATATCTGTACCATATTCTAGGATGACAACTAAAACTTGTTAGCGCCTTTTCTTTCTAGAGCTTTCATATACAGATTTGCTACAATTGAAGATGTTGGTGAACCCATTGCAACTTCATTTGTCTGACAGTATGGTTTGTCTTTAAAGGTAGAATATGCAAATTCTAAACAAAGTTTAAAGCATTTTAGAACTTTTTTCTGTTGATAATGAAGATTTAATTAATAATTCCTGATTGTTTTTAAGTTCATATTTCATAATATCAAGTGAATCACATATAGAAGGAATACTAGTAAGCAGAGAAATCACACACAAAACATGCCATAATTTCGTCTTCTTTAATAACTATGTTCATTACTTTCCTTTTAAACTCTTCAATATTTTTGTGATGTTCGAAGGAATATTGTATTGAAGTGGTTTCAGTATTCGTGATAAGTGTTTTGGATAAAGTGTATGTCACTGATTTTGTCAAACCAATTTCTGGTCTCAAAAGAACACTTATTTTGAGTATTTTCGGCTTACCATAAAGCCTTGCAGCCATCTTTGTTTTTGGAGCTATTTTTATTTTTTTTTATTTTTTGATTTACAGCTTGATTCCACACTGTATTTTTGGTACAAGTATGGAATTTTCAGCATGGATATCGGTAGCCCAAATTTCGCAGGCCGACCATAGATATCAGGTGTGCGCCGGCGAGGGCTCGAACCCCGGACCATGTGCATGATCGGCGAGAGTCCTAACCAATGTGCCTCCGACGCACACCAACCAAAGTGAATTCCCTAGTCTCGGTTTGAATTCTCTAAGTAGATTACATACTTGTGCTTTTACTTTGTTCATAGAACTAGGTATTTTGTTTATTTGTACTAGTCCTAATACATACGCCATTATTCTTTAAACATGCGGTGAATTCTATTTTTAAGTGTTAGGCAGCACAATATTCAAAGTCTTGAATTTTCTTGACTGAACATTCAGTCTTCGGAAATT